CCTGGCCGATTCGATACAGTAATAGCTTCATATTGGGACAAGTCGCGAGCAGGGCGGCGCGCGGCCCCGGCGGGAGTCGAACCCCCGACCCTCCCCCCGTCCCTCCTCGGGCCAGCGGCACCGTCCGCGCACGGTCAGTTTCCAATTTCCGAGCTCCAAAACCGACAGAGCAAACAAGGGGGAAGCCGGTCGGGCAGCGAGCAGAATTCGTGTGCGGAATTTCGAGAAATTGCTCGTCATCCAGGCGAAGGTGAGCCGACGAGGCGCGGCTTGTTGAACGGGATTCAAGCAGTCCGGCCAGAAGACCGCTGGAGGCGGCCAAAAATCTAGACGCGTTTTCAGCTCCAGAGTCGCTAAATGGGACTCGAGCCGAACGTGTGACCCCACAAATGGATTGCTCTCCAAACGAGGAATCCATTGGTGGGGTCACACGTTCGGTTCGAGTCCTGTTTAGCGACTCTGGAGCTCAAAACGTGTCCTGAGTTTAGGCCGCGGCCCACTGTGCGGCCTTGCCGAGGTTTCTGCCGAGACGTTCGGCTAGTGACACCACTGTACAGGCCACCCTCCTCGGCGGAGCGGTGGAGGGGCTGGGGAAGGGGGAGGGGAGGGGGACAGGGAGAGGGAGCGCCACTGGTGGAACTGCGCATTTCACGGTTTTCATTGGCACGCCGTTCCGTCGTTCAAAACGATTTCGACATAAGCTGGGCGATTCCGCACGGCCATGCCGAGGCCGTGGTGGGTGCCGGCGACGACCCCAGCGAACGCCCCTGGCGGCCCCGCCCCGCCCCGCCCGGCAGCGGAGTCATAACAGTCGCGACTGCCGACGTGGCTGGCATACCGAAGCATACTTGGACCGGTCCCGCCAAAACCTGCGACTCGCGACCTCCACAATTTTCTGCATCATTTTTTCCAGGCCCGCTTTGGCGCCGCCTAGCGACACCTCGAGCGGAGGAGAGAAAAAAAAGTGTCGAAGGGGAGGTGGCGACCGGAAAAAAATAATATAACGCCCGGCAGCCCGGAGACAAACCGATTTCACCCTCAGTCAGAGAACATGATCGGAAGATAGAATTCTTGTAAGGCACGGAGAACGCTTCAAATGTTGTCCGTCTTTAGATTAAGAACCAGCCCCGATTTTTTCCCTTTTTTTCGCAGTCTCACTTTTTTTTCCTTTGTCGTCGTTTCAATTTTTTCATTAGCTTGCCGCTCCCCTTGCACGACACTGCAAGACAGCTCTAGTATTATTCTTATCCGCCTTTTATTATGCCAACAACGCGGACCGGGCAATCATTGTTCTTCTTTCCTTCCTCCGATTCCGTTTGTTTTCCGCCCCATTTTTTTTTCGCCCCGTTCTTTTTTTTTTTTCTTCCCGTTCTCTGCCATCATCCCCCTCTGTTTAATTTTGCAGTCGCCTAGGTTATATCATTCTAGGTTCTTGGATTATAAGAGTCGCCGTGGACACAATTTGAAATCGACAATCATGGTTTAACCTTTTTAAATAGCCGAAAAAAAACCAAAAACGCGGAAAATCGTCCTATTTTTCTTGCCATTTCCACGACAGCACACTTTGTAAACCTTACGAACTATTAAAGTCAGAGGCTCCATATGACAAAGTACTTTGAACATACGTGAGCTTGAAAAGAAAACCGTTCGTAACGAACTACTTCTTCGTCTTAAAAACTAAATAGTTTGTACCTTACATATGCTCAAAATACATCCTAACGTTTTAAGCGTGCAACAACACTTGGCGTCACTTTACGCCCAGGGGGAGTCGACGGGCTCCGCGCTGCGGATCGGGAAATGTTTCCTGATGGTATTTTACTCCGGCAGAGCGACGAAGACGTATCTTGTCTCTGAGAGCGACGCCACGGCGAGCACGGCGCGGTCGCTTTATACCCGATATTACAGGGTCGTTTTGGTCTTACGCCTAGCGTCTGCTGGGGCGGTCTATGGGGCCGTGCTCGCTCCGTTGATGGCCGTACGCGACCTCGCAAGTACTAGCCACGCCCCCTCGCCACGCCCCCCGTGAAGGTGTGTGCGTGCGAGCACACACACACACACGGACGTGGGCACGCATCAATGTAAAGACGCGGAGCCGGAGAGGTGCAAAATTTATCCATTTTCTTCGAGGGGGCCACCACTCTAGAAATCTGGTGTCCCCTTGAGCGCTAGAAATCTCTAGAAATCTGAAATCTTTGCCCCCCAAAAAAAGGTCAAAAACGAGTAAATTTTGGGCGTAGCATCGACTAAAATCTTGAGAAATCCGACGAAATCTTCAGCCTTAAGAAATCTCGCCTCGGTGATTTCCTCCCGAAAACAAACAGCAGACTGATTCCGAGAGTCGTTTTCGTCGCTCTGTCTCTCTCGCACTCATGGGGCGTCCCTTAAAGGTGCGAGAGAGACAGAGCGACGAAAACGACTCTCGGAATCAGGCCGCAGGCGGGGCAAAGACAAAAACTTGGCGTTCTGGCGCGCGCTTCTGGCCGTCGGTGGGTCATTTTCCAATAAGGCGCCCCCAGCCACTGCCAGGCCACTGCCAGGCCACTGCCGCACTGGGCATCCTGAATTTCAAATTACCCCCAAGCAAGAACGGATGAGAAGCGCGAGAGAAAAAAGAAACCGAGCAGAAAAAAAAAATTTCGAATGCAAATCTCGTTTCACAAAGCGGCATCGTGGCTCGTCGCGCGCACCACGCCGCACAACGCCCTCTGCCGCCGGCCAGCGTCAAAACCAATATTTGGACGACTGTTATCGTTGTCGACAGTCTGTAAGGTATTATGTATTCAGGGGCTTCGGATTGTCTTAGATTACGATGAGCACCGAGATGCCGGCTGCCCGCTTCCCAGGGGCTGAATTTCATATTATATTGGAGGGGCCGGGAAATTAAAATACGAGGAGCCCTGGAATGGCATTAAATGGGGCCTTGGGAGGCGCCCCACAGTGGGCCAGAAGACCGGTGGAGGCGGCCAAAACTCTAGACGCGTTTTGAGCTCCAGAGTTGTTAAATGGGACTCGAACCGAACGTGTGACCCCACCAATGGATTCCTCGTTCGGAGAGCAATCCATTGGTGGGGTCACACGGTCGGCTCGAGCACCATTTAGCGACTCTGCACTGTTAAAAAATTCGGATTGAAATTTCATAACATGTTAATGTAATTATTATCACTTTTCTGTTATGAAATTTCATGGCGATTTTCTGCAATGAAATAAATTTCATTGCAGAAAATCACCATGAAATTTCATAGCAAAGTGTTGTGAAACTTCATTAAATTGTTAATGAAAATTCATATGCGAGTTTTGACATTTTATTTCCAATTGTGGTATTGTATTTCATAAACGGGTGATGTAATCTCGACCGGTATCTTGACTCTTAGTTCAATACCAGTTCTAAAAATTGCAAGCGGGCTAAGTCCACCTTAGACATAGAGCTTAACCCGGAGTGTAACTCAGTGAGATGAGTTGGCGGCAAGTTGTATTACAATCACGAGGAGGCTCTCGCTGGACCTAACCCAATGGCCGACTGTAGGCGCCAGCGAGTCGCAACATGGTTCTGCGTTTTTCTCGACTTCAGAGTAATATTTTGTTTAACACTTTTAGCATACGTCTAGAGTAGATATTCACTTAGGTAACCAAGGATAAACTTTTGAAAAAATATTGATTTTACTTAAATGAATAGGCAAAACTTACAAGTGAACGAACACGGCACTCCGAGCGCCACCTAGCGGCAGCTTCTTGAAACCTGACTTTGAGCCCAGGTGGCTGACAGGCCGCACCATGTGAGCAGTGGATTGACCACAGTTTGCGTTAAATGATACTAAAATTCTTTTTTGGTGCGACGTTTGATTTACTATACTCATATTATCACGCTACATTTACTCAGGGAAGAGCATAGGAATATTCCGAATCACGATTAGCTTCAAACTCAGTCAAACCTGAAGTTCCTTCCACCCGGGCAATGTGCACTGTTAAAAAATGGTTGTACAGAAATAATCAGATGAGTGAAAATTTAGTCGTTCCAAAACATAGAATTTCATCATGAACCAAAGCGAAACAAATGTCGTTGAGTCTAGTAAGCGACATTATGTCGTTGAAGGACAAAATTCTTGTTATCACTCTTTACGATACAATTTATGTGGAAACAACATCTTTTGCAATTATCTGCTCAATTAAAGCAAATTATGAATAATCATCTATTTTGTTCTTCTAAGTCATAGGGAAATTACTAATGTTTAAAAAAACCATGCTAAATAAATTTAGCGACAAAATAACTCTATGAATATAGTCGCAGACATTACAAAATACCTTTTGGACTTTCAATACTTGTCGTTGATGTGTTATTGTTGGTGCGTTATTACAATTTAGTCGTTGTGAAATTATCCCTTAGTTCCAATACGCCTACGGTTTAACAAGCTATTTGTTCCACAACAAATCTTGTCGCTAAAAAAGTTAGCAATAAATGTGTCGCTAAGTTACGTCAAAATTTTTATCAGTGTAAGAGCCATCAAAACCTGCCCATCACAAGTCAAAGACCGACATGAAATTTTATATCTTGGTTATAAATTTTCAGAACCACACTAAATTTGTAGTTTCACGTTTTGACTTTTGATCAAATTTCTTGACGTTTCATTGCAGACTTGATTTTTCAAGGAGATATTATAACGTTTCATGGAATGTGTTCTGACATTTCATTATATTTATGAAATTTTATGGCCGCTATGAAATTTAATTGCGTTCATGAATTTTCAATGCATATTTGTAATGAAAATTCATAACATTTTTAACAGTGTGGAGCTAAAAACGCGTCTAGAGTTTTGGCCGCCTCCACCGGTCTTCTGGCCCACTGTGCGCCCTGCCTGCCTGCCTGGCTGGGGGGAGCGGGCGAGAATTTTGTCCGCCATCGCGGAATCAATGAATACCCATCGGCAGCCGGAAAGCCGTGGCTCCAATCCCTTTGCTTTCAACCCCCGAATCAAAATGCACGTGGCTTGCGCCCGGGCCCTTACCAGTGGGGGCGCAATGCGATGCGCGATGCTGGGTCGCCGTCGCGGTCCTCTAGTCACCAGGAACTGCTGCCGTCCGTCGTCCTTGTCCACACCGCCCTCGGAACCTATGGAGCGAAGAAGCAAGTGGGATTTAGCAGTGCAGCGCGCAAACTACTCGCCGAGGCTGCTTCCTCAAGCGCGGATCTAGAGTGAGGCAAAAGGACAGATTGCCCCCCCCCTCCCCCGCCTGAGAAGGCAGCCTGAAAGGTAGGCAAAAACAACTACTTCGCCACTCCACCCCCTGCCCAGCTCTGGATCCGCCACTGTGTTTCCTCGCCGCGTAGACCACCTGTGGAACGCACGGCGCCACAGTGCGGCCCAGACCCGCCCCGACGCACAGTGGGCCAGAAGACCGGTGGAGGCGGTCAAAATCCAGGACGCGTTTTGAGCTCCAGAGTCGCGAAATGGGACTCGAACCGAACGTGCGACCCCACCAATGGGTTGCTCTCCGAACGAGGAATCCATTGGTGGGGTCACACGTTCGCTTCGAGTCCCATTCAGCGACTCTGGAGCTCAACGCGTCTTGAACTTCGGCCGCCTCCACCGCTCTTCTGGCCCACTGTGTGCTGTGCCAGGCGAGGCAGATCATCGCCGTTGAATGACTAAACAACGCAGATGCCACGTTTCCATGCCGCGCCGCTGCGGCCGAGCAGACTGATTCCGAGAGTCGTTCTCGTCGCTCTGTCTCTCTCGCACCCACAGGGGACGCCCCAGGAGAGCGAGAGAGACAGAGCGACGAAGTGTGAACGCCGCCCGCGGTCCATGGTTTCATTACCTCCGGCCGACTAGTAACCGACTTGCCGCCACCTGCTGGCTTGCTGGCTGCATCGATCAGTACACTGTAATCGTCTTTCCCCCACCCCCACCCCACCCCACCCCCAGCGCATTAAACAATAAAATAAGACGCAGCATTAATAATTTAAAAACAGGCATCGCGCTCCGGGCAGGGGAGGCGGCGGCCAAATTCTCCACGCCAACGCGTTAAATCAATCGACACGCGATTCAAAGACAGACGGAAGGGGTTAACTTGACTTAATTTCGTAACCAAAATGAATGGCACGAGGTGGGGAAGGGTGAGGAGGGGAGGGGAGGGGAGGGGAGGGGAGCGGAGCGGAGCGGAGGGGAGGGGAGGGGAGGGGAGGGAAGGGGTGGCTCGTGAGGCTGGGGGCGTCCTTCCCCTCTGTGACGTCACAGCAGTGTAGTTCCGGACGAGCATGCAGTCATGTCTGCATAATGGTGACGTCATCAAACAGTTATATACACGCCTGGCATTTATGACACGGCCTGCAGTGCCAGAAGTTCGGCCAGAAGGGAAGGGGTGCCAGGAACCTACCGTGTCGCGGGTTCAAAACTCAATCATTTCTTAATGTTTCCTTGTTTTCTTCATTGTGTTTAATTTTGAGTCATCTGTATGAAGGCACAGGCTGTCTGGCATCCCACCCCCAACCCTTCCATGCCCCTCCTCCGTTTGCTTTCCTCCTCAACTAATGGATAAATCTGCATGCTAAAACACCGACATTCATCAAAAAAAATCTGTTCCAAGCTGTCTGAAAATAGCTTCTTTTCAAGCCACAGCATAAATGGATTGGGAAAGAGACGGTCTTTAAAAATGGACGTACAATGCAAGTGAACGAATTAGCAAGTGTGACTGGCTACAAGGTAACCATTGTGCGCTCAACACGAGATTCATGATCATTCATGATTCATTGAAGTTAATCACCTATATTACTCTAATGAAGTAGAATATGAACGAATTTTATCATGTCCATACCTAGAGGGGATCTGATTCATCAAAGTCAACACATTCTAAGTACCCGTTGGAAGTAAACCCCAAAGCGAACATGAAAAAATAAGTCCTCATTTTCATAATTATTCATTATAAAAATACAGAAGTATCTAAAAGACTATGCCTAGATTAAAGTAAAAGGCTTCAGTGCATGACAATCTTCCAAATTGTTTCACCAGCAACAACTTGTTTGAGTGCTACTGCTAACAGGCTGTAACAGGTGCACCAAAGGGTGAGAGGATTGTACTTATTGACGATGTGTCAGTGGCTGCGAAAGCTCCGAGGCGCTTCGGGATGAGTGTTGATAGAATTTTCAAACACAGGCTGATGATAATTCATTTCAGGATTGTATAAATTCTTGCAACGGAAGAGACCGCACGCGAGAGGTTAGAGGGTGGAGGGGGCGTTATCTTTCCTTGCAGCGTGCCGGGGCGCCTTCACGGCAAGACGCATTCGTTGTGATTGTTTCCGAAAAAGAGAGAAGATAAATGACACTCACCAAGATATAATACGTTGTCTTTCAGGCTTTCACACGCGCGGGCTTTCAACCTCACACTTCACTCGTCACACTCGTCACCAGCTGCTGTCCGTCTGTCTACCGATCCGCCGCCCCACCCCACCCACTCGACCCCGCGCCAACCATCAATCATAACCGGTATGAGAAATTCTACAGTACTCATTTTGCACGTCTCGCTTCGCCACAGGTGGTGATTCCCTGCGTTCGAGTCTATGTTTCGTATCGAGTAGCTGTGAGCCAGCTACGGTTTATTGTGTCAGTGATTATTTGTGGTAGAGTTGAAGGATTAAGAAATGAGAAGAAAAGAACAAAACAAGAAGAGATAAGAAACATTGTTTTCCCTTTATCATTTGAGCACTTGCCAATTACACTCCACTTATAAAGTCACAAAATTAGAACTCAAGCCATTGAGACTTTGGTCAAAGGATAAAATCCTAATACAAAATTAGAAAAATAGAAATTATTATACAGCAATAGTCATAACCACCTCTACCAGTAACAGAAACTTTTAATAGATACATACTACATAAGTATTTAGCATAATCAGTCATGTAGTAAAAGTAGAAAATAGGCAATAATTAAACAGCCCATCACTTGAGTAAATGCTGCTACGTACAACAAAGAAAATAGATAAAATTAAACAAGTTCGTAACTTCAAGCAGCAAAACGTAACACAAACATTCAATCATTCGTTGGAGCGTAAATCTTGCTGGGAATAAAAAAAGGAAGCCTAATGACTAGAGGCCATGCACATTCTATTAGTTAAAACAATAATGGAGAAAAGAAACGGTCACAATATTACAAACACAAATAAAATCGTTCAGCTCGAAACAATCTAGTTTCAAATTAACAATGAACAAGGCAGACTAGAATAGACTTCTAGTCTACAGTCATTTGTACAAACCCCTCTTCGTCAGTTAATTTCAATGGCATTTCGACCTTTCTGTGGGTCGAGTTTGATGAAATAACGCTGAACTTCAGCCAACACCCACAGAGCCTCTAGGGTTTTCAGCATTGCCCCAAATCAATCTTCCATGATCCCGATACGACGTCTCGAACGAGTCGCACCAGAATGGGGGCGTCGGCCGTGTCCTCCGAGGTCGCCGACGACGCGGGGGACGCCTCCCCGGACGACGGCGAGGGCGAGACCGAAGACACGCCGGAGTCGCTGCCGTCGGCGTCCAAATCGCTCTTGACGAAGACAATGCTGCCGCTGTCCACGCCGACCTGGTGGAGGACGTCCTCGTGGTGACCGTCTTGGTGATGGCAGTCCTGGTGATGGTCGTCCTGGCGGTGACGGTCCTGGTGATGGCCGTCCTGGTGATGGTCGTCCTGGTGATGGACGTCCTGGTGGTGGCCGTCCTGGTGATGGCCGTCCTGGTGATGGCCGTCCTGGTGGTGGACGTCCTGGCGGTGGAGGTCCTGGCGGAGGCCGTCCTGGCGGTGGAGGTCCTGGCGGTGGAGGTCCTGGCGGTAGACGTCCTGCTGGTGGACGTCCTGGCGGTGGCCGTTGTAGAGCAGGTACTCCAGGTTGGGGACAGGGGCGACCTGGTCGTGAAAGACGTGGCCCTGGCCGTCATGACGCAGCCCTTCTTGGTGCTCAACGTGGACGACCTGCTGGTGGGCATCCAGGGCGTGCGCGTCCTGGAGGTGGCCATCCTCGTCCTCACCGCGATCCTCGGACACCTCGCGCCGAGCGACGCACTCGCCGTAGTCCAGCTCCTCCAGCTTGACGGCGAGGTTGGCGTGCAGCGAGTGCACCCGCAGCATGTGCGTGCGCAGGTACGGCCGGCGGATGAAGCCGGTGGAGCAGAGCGGGCACTGGAAGGGCTTTCGGCCGCGGTGCAGCCACTGGTGGGACCGCAGGGAGCTCGCGGACGCGAGCGGCTGCAACCAGAATCACGAAGTCAGTCGCTCTGTCTCCCACAGTGGGCCACAAGACCGGTGGAGGCGGTCAAAATTCTGCACGCGTTTTGAGCTCCAGAGTCGCGAAACGGGACTCGAACCAAACGTGTGACCCCACCAATGGATTGCTCTCCGAACGAGGAATCCATTGGTGGGGTCACACGCTCGGTTCGAGTCCTGTTTAGCGACTCTGGAGCTCGAAACGCGTCTACGGTTTTGACCGCCTCCACCGGTCTTCTGGCCCACTGTGCGTGCCGGAGGGTGCGAGAGAGACAGAGCGAAGTACGCGCGCCGCCGCTCACCTTGCCGCAGACGTCGCACACGTGCCAGACGCGCGGGCCGTGCACTTGGCGGAAGTGGCGGGCCAGATTCCTCTCCGACGAGAAGGTGCGACCGCACGAAAGGCACTCCGCGGGCTGCCGCGACGTCCCCGACGGCGTGCCCGCGCCGTCCGCGGCGTCCTCGGCGTACTCGGTCTGCACCATGTACGTCGGCGGCAGGCTGGCGCTGGTGAAGAAGTCCGCGTCGGCGGTGTTGTCGGCCAGGGTGTAGTAGTAGCCGGGTGACGCGGCCTCGCGGGGAGTGACGGCGTAGGGGTACCCGGTGCTGCAGGAGCACAAGGATCAAGTTAGCGTGGTGTGGCAGGCGCGTGTCGGGGGGAAAAGGGGGGGGGGGCACACTATGCCCCGTAGGTCGGCAACTCATGCGTCATTGCGCCTCCTCCCCATGACCTGTCTCTGGATCCGCCCCTGAGCTGTGGGGGTGAAGGGCGCTACCCTGGGGGAAGGACATCAAGGGGGTCACCGTGGTGGAAGGACATCCTCCCCAAACCGCGACCCTTCTAATGCTTAAGCCGAAGACCATAAGGGCGGATCCAGAAACAGCCCCGGGGAGGGAGAAAGTAGCGTCCTGTGCCTACTGTTGCAGGGGCAAAGCGTTGCTTTACACCAAACTTTTTGACGGCTTTCTTAAGGCCGAAAGGAAGGCAAAAAGGCCTGTTGCCCCCTTCAAAATTCACACTGCATAAAAATTGAAAGGCGAAAATGAAGCCGCCGGCACGGGGAGTTGAACCCACAACTTTTTAGGCTACTCACTTGCTGCTGACGGTGATGCCGTCAGGGTAGTCGGCCACGTCGCCGCGCTGCTGGTCCTGCACGTCCTGGAGGCACATTCGCAGCACGGACGCCGACTGCCACGGGCTGCCGCAGGACAGGTCCATCACGGCGTCGGGGTCCACCTCGACGATCTCCACCTCCACGTTGGGCTCCGGGAAGAACATGGCTGCAGCACCGCCGAGTCCTGCTAGACGTCCTGCAAAAACGTCCAGCGTCAACGGACTGATTCCGAGCTCCGAGCGTCGTCACACAGTGGGCCAGAAGACCGGTGGAGGCGGCCAAAACTCTAGACGCGTTTTGAGCTCCAGGGTCGCTAAACAGGCCTCGAACCGAACGTGTGACCCCACCAATGGATTCCTCGTTCGGAGAGCAATCTATTGGTGGGGTCACACGTTCGGTTCGAGTCCCATTTAGCGACTCTGGAGCTCAAAACGCGTCTAGAGTTTTGGCCGCCTCCACCGGCTTCTGGCCCACTGTGCGTCATCGTCGCTGTCTCTCTCGCATCTTAAACGGGACGCCCTGTGAGTGCGAGAGAGACAAGCGACTCTCGGGATCAGTCCCAGAGCCGTTTCCGTAGCACTGTCTCTCTCGCACCAAAACGGGACGCCCCATGAGTGCGAGAGAGACAGAGCGACTCTCGGATTCAGTCTGCAGCGTTCATACCAAAGCTCATGCGTTGTTCGAGATAAGCCCGTCATTGGAAGCCCGTCTCGACCCCACCCCTCTCCCATCCCCTCGTCAGAACGATGACGTAATTTCGCTGCAGCCGGTACGTCACTACAGCCGACGGCGTTCGAAAAGAAAAGTACTCGAGACAAAACAGCAGCACAAGCATAAAAGCGGACCAGTACACTACACTTCAGACTGGCGAAACGACAGCGACACAAACAACAAAGAAGCACAACGCCGGTCCGGCAGCGGCCAGCCGCTTTTGAGGTTAGGTTACGGATTTAAGCCCCACAACAAACAACGGTGCCCGACGCGTCTACGACTCGCACTCCAATTCTCACTTACTTGTGCGGCACGACGGTCCTGGGCACTGCACGCCGATTGTCCGGAAAATCCTGGAGGAAAATCAACAAGTGTTCTGCAGGTTGCTCTGTTCGGCGAGGGGAGGGCAGCGTCGGCCGGTTCGAGACGAGTCGCGACGCGCCGGCAACGGACGGCACCTCGCCGCGCCGTGGGAGGGGGAGGGGGGGAGGGGGCTGTTGCTTGTTGCTACTGGTTGCTGTGTTGCTACCCGGGCCGGCGGCGCGGGCGGACGCGCTCAGTTATATAGTTACCACATTGAAATGACACTCGTCGCTACCCCTCGCGGGGAGGGGGGACCCGGGCCGAGACCCCAGTACTGAACTTATGGCTCGACTTGCTACGCGACGCATGGACTGCCAGGACTCGCCGTGCTGATTCCAACCCCAGTGCTTCGTCGCTCTGTCTCTCTCGCACGCGCCCCGAGTGCGAGCGAGACAGACCACGCCGCCGACGCACAGTGGGCCCGAAGACCGGTGGAGCGGCCAAAATGCTAGACGCGTTTTGAGCTCCAGAGTCGCTCTGAACGAGGAATCCATTGGTGGGGTCACACGGTCGGTTTGGTCACACGGTCGGTCCCATTTAGCGACTCTGGAGCTCAAAACGCGTCTAGCATTTTGGCCGCTCCACCGGTCTGGCCCACTGTGCGACGTCATCCTCATCTTCGGCATGAACGAAAAGGGAGCGTCGGCGGGCGTCGTTCGCTATTTGCAGTACCGGCAGTTGGCAAAACAAACAGAAAGTTTGTGGAAGGAGCGGCAGAGAGCACGCCGCCGCGCCGCCCCTTGCGCGGCCCCCGCGTGCTTGGAGGCGTGCTTGGAGGCGTGCTTGGAGGCGTGCTTGAAGGCGTGCTTGGAGGCGTGCTTGGAGGCGTGCTTGAAGGCGTGCGTGTGTGCCAGTGTGTGCGCGCGGCATCATGAGAATGTCATCGGGGAGAGGCCGACGGTGTGCCTGAGCAGGCCGCGGCCGCGAACCCGAGCGCCAAGAAGAGAGGCACCTTGATGAGGCCGCGTTTCGACTACAACAAGGGCGGAATGCTAAACCGGGCTAAACCGCCACCTCCCGTCTCGGGGAACTATCATTTTCGTTCGCTTCCTTCCTGCGTGCGCGTGTCGGGCTACTACACCGTACGGTGCACACACTGTGCCATCCTATCTACCCGCCTGGATTCCGCGCGGGTGCCGCCACGCCGCGGTCGCGCCCCGTTTTAAGACCACCGCAAGCAGACTGATTCCGAGAGTCGTTTCCGTCGCTCTGTCTCTCTCGCACGTGTACGGGACGCCCGATGAGTGCGAGAGGGACAGAGCGACGAAAGCGACTCTCGGAAGCAGTCTGCAGGTGAGTGCCCTGCCCGCGCTGTGCGAGGCGAAGCACCAAGATGGTGCTTTCGAGGATGGTGAATTGATTTGCTGGTGTCCTCGCTGGACGTGTGAGGTGGGTGGCCTACCTCCGGTAAACGGCCTGCCGCATTTTAAAATTGAGTTACCCTTTACCGCTGACCGTTTGAAAGACGCGCCGCGGCGGGAATGAAGTCCAGGTGAGTGGCGCGTCCACCTCGGTGCCCGTGTGGAACAGATAGGCTGAAAGCATGCTGAACCGCATCTGAACTTTCAGTCCGTTTTCAGACGCCAGTCAGGCCTCAGTCAGACCGCGTTCAAGCGAGATCCAGGCCGTTCGCGACACGAACAAGGTATGAATGCCGTCTGACGAGCGTCTGACTGAGGCCTGACTGGTGTCTGAAAATGGGCTGAACGCGGTCTGAAAAGCGGCTTAGATTCAGACCGCGTTCAGGCCGCGTTCAGTCCGTTTTCAGGCCCACGCCTGGCCGCCCGAAAAAAACGTCAACAGCGTCGAAAACGAAGACTGCCGGCCGACGTCTGGTGTCGAAATCGGGACAAGGCGCATAGAATACCGGTGCGTGAATCCGCTTGGCCAGAGCGACTTCTGTGGAGTGACGTGCGACGCTGCGATCCCATTCAGCTGGCCAAAGCTTGCTGATACGGTTGAGACATCTGATGTGTGACTTAAACCTTTTCCGAAGTGGGGTAGAACAGGGTTTGCCTCTGTCGTGGAGAACAATCATACTCTTTTCGCTGGCTATGATATTTCGGATTGTGCCATTTTAAAACGAAAAGAGCCTTTCTTCCAAGTAGTTCTCCGCAGCGTTATACGTATCAGCAAGCTTCGGCCAGCAGAATAGGATCGCAGCGTCGCACGTCGCCCCACAGAAGTCGCTCTGGCCAAGCGGATTCACGCACCGGTATTCTATGCGCCTTGTCCCGAGTTCGACACCAGACGTCGGCCGGCAGGTCTTCGTTTTCGACGCTGTTGACAATTTTTTCGGGCGGCCAGGCGTGGGCCTGAAAACGGACTGAACGCGGCCTGAACGCGGTCTGAATCTCAGCCGCTTTTCAGACCGCGTTCAGCCCATTTTCAGACACCAGTCAGGCCTCAGTCAGACGATCGTCAGACGGCATTCATACCTTGTTCGTGTCGCGAACGGCCTGGATCTCGCTTGAACGCGGTCTGACTGAGGCCTGACTGGCGTCTGAAAACGGACTGAAAATTCAGACGCGGTTCAGCATGCTTTCAGCCTATCTGTTCCACACGGGTGCTTTCGCGCTGCAGGTCGTTTCGCTGCCATCTGAGACGCGGGCGGTGCACAGTGGGCCAGAAGACCGGTGGAGGCGGCAAAAACTCCGGACGCGTTTTGAGCTCCAGAGTCGCGAAATGGGACTCGAATCGAACGTGTGACCCCACCAATGGATCCCTCGTTCAGAGAGCAATCCATTGGTGGCGTCACACGCTCTGTTCGTGTCCAGCTTAGCGACTCAGGAGCTCAAAACGCGACTAGAGTTTTGGCCACCTCCACCGGTCTTCTGGCACACTGTGCGGTGGCGGTGGACGGGTGCCCCGCAGACGACCCTTAAATGATGCTGTTCGGGAAGTAATTTTGGCCGGCTGCGCTGTGCGCGGTGCGCGGCCCGAGCCGAGCCGGGCAGGCGCCAGTGGACTGACTCCGAGAGTCGTTTTCGTCGCTCTGTCTCTCTCGCTCTCGTAGGGGCTCCTCACAGGTGCGAGAGAGACAGAGAACGAGTCTCGGAATCAGCCTGCAGCAGATCACACACAGAAGAAGAACCGCCCTGCTTGCCACCTACCCCACTGCCAGGCTCGGCAACGCTCCTTCCTCTGTCTCTCTCGCTCTCATGGGGCGCCCCGTGTGGGTGCGAGAGAGACAGCGACGAGAACGACTCTCGGCTTCAGTCTGCAGAACGCCGCTAAAGCGATTAGAGCGAACCGCGAGCGCGGCGCGTCGCTCCTCGCGAGGCAGCGAGGGCAAAGCCTGGCGAAGCCCGAGAGAGAGAGGGAGAGAGAGAGAGAGAGAGAGAGAGAGACGGAGAGGCAAGCGGCGAAGCCTTGCCAAAGTTCTAATTTCGCCTTTGAAGTGGCACAGAGTCGTGGATGGCAAGAACGAGAGCGGCTCCGGAGCACTGGCAGGCAGCGGAGGGGTGGATTTCGTCGCGGTGGCGCGGCGGCCTGCACGCAGTCGATCGGCCCTTTCCGTGCGAGTGACTGCTCGCGGTGACCGGTGGCCGAGGGGCATCCGCGCTTACCTGGCAATCGCAAGGGCCGCGGTTCGAACCCCACCGCCGGCGGAACTTTTCTGCGCGTCGACAAGCAGGGTATGTGTGCGCCGGTACCTTCTCTGAACCCGCCGCCGCCTTGCGAGCGCACACAAGCACACAAGTCATGGCAAGCCGAGCGGCAAGCGGTTTCGCGAAAGACTCCTCAAAGGCGGTGCGCTGCTTCGGCTGCTTCGGTGTTCGGCGGGCGGCGCACCTGTGTGCTCGCAGCGCGGCCGCGGCGCAGGGCATGGCGGCGCGCTGCCTCACAGGTTGTTGTCCTTATCGCCGGGGCCAGGGGGATGGCCATGCAAGGGGTGGGGCCGCGTCTCGTCGCCCTGTCTCTCTCGCACCCCCGCGGAACGCCGCAGCGCGCCGCGAGTGCGGAACGCCGCAGCGCGCCGCGAGTGCGAGAGAGACGGCGCGACCGCTGCCCCGCTGCACCCGCGCTGTATGTTTCTTCCCGGCAGTAATTTTGGGTGCGTGCGAGAGAAAGGCGTAACCGGCGCTCCGGGTAACTGCGGATTTATTCAGAAGGGAGGTGTTGAGAGCAGGAAACTTTTAGCCTGAGGCGAACGGGCCGGGCGGGCAGGGCCGCCGGCGCAGCACAGTGGGCCAGAAGACCGGTGGAGCGGTCAAAATTCTAGACGCCTTTTGAGCTCCAGAGTCGCTAAATGGGACACAAACCGGCCGTGTGACCCCACCAATGGATTCCTCGTTCGGAGAGCAATCCATTGGTGGGGTCACACGTTCGGTTCGAGGCCTGTTTAGCGACTTTGGAGCTCAAAACGCGTCTGGACTTTTGGCCGGTCTGCTGGCCCACTGTGCGCAGCCGCGCTAGCCGCGCAAGCGTGCATCAGAGCGACGGCTTTCAGCAAGGTAGCGCCTGCAGCCCGATGCCCAGCAGCCAACCAGAGCGCTCTCCGTCTCTCTAGCACCCTGACGGCACGCCCCGTGAGTGCGAGAGAGACGGGGCGACGCCGTCCGGAACCACCCCGCCGTCGGAGCCCCGCGGCCATTTCAGCCATTTCATCTCCGACCCACATGGTGCGCGAAGTGCTAACGTATACAGTATGTTGCCGCCACGCCGCGCCACGCCGCGCCCGGCGCCTCGCCGTTCGACGATGGGCCTGGCCGCCGTAAACGCCGCCGGGGTGCTGGACGAGTTTTCTGCCAGCGCGCACCGCCACTCCTTCGACTCGGCCTCGCTGCGCGAACGGCGCGATCCGCGTTCCCCGATCCACACGCCGCGGACGGTCGTCCCAACTTTTGATGAGCCCTCCCCGACGCTCCAGAATTCAATGCCGCAAGGAATCTCCGCGTCCAGCTGGCGGCAGCTGCTTGTTGTTGTTGTTGTTGTTGTTGTTGTTGTCGTCGTCGTTGTTGTTGTTGTTGTTGTTGTTGTTGTTGTTGTTGTTGTCGTCGTTGTTGTAGGCGAGACTGAGAGTCTTGCTGCTGTTCGAAAATCGAATTTGCAGCCTCCTGGAGAAACCAAATATGAGTCCTGGATAAACCAAAGATGAGTCCTGAAGGAACCAAAGAAGAGTCCAGTATAAAAGCAAAGATGAGTCCAGTATAGAGGCAAAGATGAGTCCGGGAGGAACCAAAGATGAGTCCTGGAGGAACCAAAGATGAGTCGTGGAGGAACCAGATATGAACCTGGATAAAACCAAAGATGAGTCCTGGAGGAACCAAAGATGAGTCCTGGAGGAACCAAAGATGAGTCCTGGAGGAATCAAACATGAGTCCTGGAGGAACCAGATATGAACCTGGATAAAACCAAAGAT